ATATATATATATATCTTGGATATTGTCAGAGTATACTATTTCCTATATTTTTTTTTGAATTTATTTTACACAGTTTAGTTTTAAATTTTATTTTACTACCTATATGAACTATTACACTAAAGTTATACTTTTATGTTTTAAACTATTCTCTAAATGGCCTAAACATTAATTTGTTTTTTACTTTATATTTTCTATGCACAGTTATGTTTTAAACTTTTCCCTTAATGGCCTTACCATTGTTTTGTTATTGTTTTACATTTATTATACATAGTTGTTTTAAATTTATTTTACTTCTATATACTAAAAATATGCTTTTTTTTTACTCGTTATTTTTATTTGAAGATAAGTAATTAAATTCAAAATAAAGTTAAATTGTTTTTTTCCCTAAATTAGTTAATTAATAGTTAGTAATGGAATTTGGAAATGACATCATGAAAAAAAATTATTTATTTAGTAATATAACAAGTTAGTAAATGGTTGGTGGTTAAATTATAGACCACCCATATTTATTACTAAATGAATGGTGGTCATTATAGCGACCATTTAAAAAAATGCCTCCCAAAGGCTCCCCTAAGTATTAAAGTCATAAAATAATATTTAATTATGTCTCTATAATTGAAAAAAATTATTCACAATATTTTAGATAATTTATTAATTATGCCCTCTAAAGGGTTAAAAGGCTGTAACTCGGTCAATATTGGACTTAAAAAGTTACCTACCAAAATTCATTCAAAAATTAAGCAAAAAAATATCAGACAGTGAACGTGTTAATAGTATGATATTATAATATATACTCTTTTTTTTTTCAAACGGACAATTTAGTATTCATCACTGATGGAGTAACACAATTCATATGATATTATATTTCTGTAAATGATAAAAAATAATTGTTAACAACATGTGATATTATTAAAATGTTACCACGTTTGATACTTAGTCCTCTCTTCTCCCCTAGTCAATAGTTGTTATTATCTTTGCATTTCTACTCCACTCTCTCGTCGCGCTCCTCGTCAATCGTTTACTTCTCCACCGTTTCTAAACGTTTTTTTTCATTATTATAACCCGTAGAGTAATTATTATTACTCTATGTCATAACTTAACTAGTTATTAGTATGGTTGAAATTCGCGTTATAAAGCTACGTTGAAGTGGCAACGAAAAAATTCTTAAGTGTATAAATAGGTTATACTTGAATACCGTATTGTCGCATATTATTAAAATTTACATGGTATAACTAAAGTAATATTTTGTCCACGAGAAACGCTATCACAAGCATTCAACTACCATTATACATTTTTCGTATTTCAGATAAAAACTCCAGTATGCCACTATCGAACCATCTACAATCTAATAACTTATAACTTATTTGTTTTGATGTTGTCTAAGAAGCAATACGCAGTCCGTCACCATTGATCGCGTTTTTTGCAGACATCAAAATCATGGAAGATTTAAAACACAAACTACGAAACTCCGACAGCAAGTATGAAAATTGTTATATATGTGTATCAATGAGTGTTTTTATGTTTTTTTTTGTTATACATTCATTGCGATTTGAATGTAACATGGAGCTTTTTTTTTTTCACACATCAGTTTTACAAACTGATTACATTTTTTGATCAATAAGGTATCCAATGAGAAATATTTTCTTGTTAAAATTTTTCTACTTTTATATATATTGTTTGGGGAAATTCATTTTTTCTCCAAGTGAGAAGTATATACTGTTTTATACTTTGCGTGATTATCATGTAATGTTCGATATCATTTGAAGTCATGAATATAAAACCGTGACAAATTGTTTTTATAAACCTTTCAAACACAATTATTCATTACATCAGATGTACTTTTACTTTAACTTATTCTAACCATATTCAATTATTGAACTAAATAATTTCTATGTTTATGAGACTTGCTTGAAATGGACTTCATTGGATATTCAATATTTCTAAGAAAAATTATGATTATTTGATTTTCAGCTAAAATTTTTTACTGTTATTTATAGAGAATTGCAATTATTATAAATTAAAATACTATTTACCAAATTCTGATAGCCTTTTTTCATTTTTAGTCTTAGTTGTTTAGACATAAGTTATGAACATCTTATATCATTTTTTGTCTTCCAGTAACCAATACATGGTTACAATTGTTTATACCAGTGGTGTATTTTCAATTTTTCTGGGGGCAGTTCATAGTTTATACATAATTAATATAAACTATATATTATATTGTAATAGTTACATCCTTATGTAGCTTTTGGAGGATGTTGAACAAAATGTATAATGTAATAATCGTATAGTCTTATGTAATATTATATATATATATATATATATATATATATATATATATATATATACCTATATATTGTATTTAGTATTATATATTATAAAGTATTGTTATAAAACAAATTCCAATTGTCTTGATTTTTTTGGCCAACTCCTCTATCAACAGTAATTTCAACTTCCCTGTGAATGTTTAACATAGCCAATTCTGCAAATATGTAAGAATTTTAGTTTATTTTTTATTTTTTTGAGAGATTCTAGGGGGGTCCAGACCCCTAGACACCCCCCCCCCCATAAATGCGCCACTGGTTAATACTATATTAATTAGAAATAAAGATAACAATTTCTCACTTTTTTAATGCATACTAATCAGTATTAAAAAAAATAAGTACCAAAATATATAATAATATATAGTAGAAACTAGATTAACCGTCACCCTCTGTCATCCGTCATTAGTATCTTAAATGAGGCGATTGCGATTAGCTTGTTGTGACGACTATCAAGCACATAAAACTTTTCTAATATCCAACATATGTGATAAACACAACATTAACAAACAAATTTAATTATTTTTATTTTTATTTAATCAGTGACTAACAATTAACATGTCTATATCAAATACAAAATGTTGCAGCTATAAAAGTTTGAACGCCAAAAAAAAATAAAAAATAATAACAGATTATTTAATTTAAAATGTTTGCTTAGTTTTAGTTTAGTAGCGTTTTGTATTTAGTATGTATGTATTTTTTTTTTCTGAAAATACACTTATAAAGTATATATATTTATTACGACATTTCTATTAACAGTCATAGTCCAGGTTCTGACACTGACAATTGATCAAATCAAATCAAATCTCTACTATACACTTAATTTATAGTATAAGATAATTTGGTATAAGTTTCTAATTTGAGCGTATTCAGTTTTAACTAGCTACAACTAATTTAATTATAATAAATTGTATTTTCATAAGTCATAATTTTTTATTATATTTTTCCAGTGTTTTCAAATCATATTTTTTCATGGCTGATCTGAGTATAAGTTTCTAATATTTTATTATATTTTATTGTATTTTTTACTATCATACTATCAACTTATCTTAAAAATAACTACATGTCAACTAGGTGTTTATTTCAGATATGCTATCTGACTTCAATAATTAAGTCACATAATATTAAAAATAAAAACTTAAAAGAGTAATAGAAAATGTAAAGATCATTAAAAAAATATAATTCTCATATAACTTATAAATTAAAATGTTAAACTGTACTAAGCTTGGCAACATGCCTTGAGTATTCAGTTCACTATCTCATTATTCATGTATAATGTAATGTTGTGTGATACATTCAGATTTACTGAAGTAATTTATACATTGATTTTAAAGGCTGATGAAATAGCTTGTTTCTTAAAAATGCTGTAATCTTGAATTAATATTTATAGAAAATATATGTTACTAAAAAGATAAATTAAAATAAACATTTAATAATTTGTGTTTAAAAATAGTAAATTTATAAATGTTCATCAATACTAGAACAAGACAATATATTATTTGAATTGTGTCATTTCACTAAAGGAATTTTTAAGTAAGATTCTCAATAGAAATTATTAGATTTGAGTATATTTTTTATAATAATATGCCTAAAATATTTCATGTATGAAATGCATTTATAGTTATGAGCCTATAATGTTTCAAAAAAAAAAAAATTACTTATAGTTAATCAAAATATTTAGTTATTAGGCATTTTCAATGGGTTCTTAATAATTATAAATGCATTGAAAAGAACAAATATTAGATAAATTACAAAATCAGTTTTCAATATAGAAATGGTAGTTAATATAATATTAAAATGCTCAATTTTTACATTATAAACTATAATAGTTTAATAATACAACAGTTACATTAATATAAATGTATTCAACTATTATTATTAATTTTAATTTAAATAATTTTTAAAACTGTAAGAGTAGTGATCTACTATCTGAATTATTCGGTTAGGATAATTTTTTCACCTGTATATAGTTTTGAAAGAAATTGTAGTATATCTATTTTATTTAATACATTTTTTTGATTAAAAATCCTTTTCATCATACTCTGTTTACTCTTGATGTTCTTCATAGTGCTATGTAAGGCAATAGATATACAATTGTGTGTGCCAACAAAAATTGTTGATATATGTTTGACTATTATTAATCATCTTTTTTCTGGGTTCAAAAGTATCTAGTTATTTATTATTTTAAAGAAACAGTATCAAGATCTAATTCTCATATTATTAAAACACTGCTAACTTCCCCAATTCTTTGTAATCTAAATATTCAGAAATCAGATAAATCTTTTTCAATAATATTTATTATTTGCTACCTTATTAGGGGGGTCATTGTAAATTAATATAGTTCTCTAACACCCCTCTTGCTTTATATGCTTCCCAAAATGTTGAAAATTCCTGATTATTAAATTTTTTAAGATCTTTGAAAGAGGTTGGCCCATACACATGGTGTAAAAACATTTTCAAATAAAAAACATTCCATATTACAAGCATTAATCGTGTAAACTTGACCATCTCCAGAATTTATATTAGGCCAATTCTAAACAGTAAATCCTAGAATTTAGCATTTCCATTTTCTTCTTGCTGATTTTGAAGTTTAAACCTCAATACTTCTATATACAGAAAAGTTTTTTAAAAATTGATCTCTTGTACACAGATCAAAAAACTCGCTAAGTGTCGTTTTTGGAGGAGTCACTTGCAAATTATTTTCAGTGAAATAAACATGTTCACCATTTTCTAGATACATACTGAGGTGTGTGACAATGGCAGTGAGGTTTCTTTCCAATTTTCGGTTATTATAACAACTTGCCGTTTACTTTCCAGGTTTAATGGAGTTTCTCCTAGCTTTTTTTATTACTAAAAGGTAATCTAACTCCTTTTTTGAGGTCTAATCTATCTCTGTACCAAATTTCATCAAAATTGGATAGTATCTTCAGAGTCCATTGAAGGCAAACTGTTGAGCATGTCATTGTATGCAATATATACATATATATATATATATATATATATATATATATATATATATATATTATAATTTACAGTTTAAAAAAAAATATATTATTAACTATCCATCCATATTTTATTTATAGGAAAACCGAGTTTGATTCAAAATACCCAATAAATCAGAGTAAAAATGTTAAACGTTTTCTTCCTGAGGATGTAAAAGACTATGAACAATCTAAACACTTAGTTCTTAATCAAGAAGATTTTCATGTTAGTTCTACTAGTAAAAGCTCAAGAAACATCATCAAGAATTCAAATTGTGTTTCTTCTCAAATTAATAAATACAAACGAACTTATAGTCAAAATGAAGTGAGTACATTTTTTTTAATCTAAATTACATGATTTATAATTATTTATTTAATACTAATTTATCAATTATTCTATTGTTACTTATAAAGATCCAAGTTAAGTCAGTGACACTGACTTAAAAAATAAATAAGTGTTGCATATTAAATGGCAAATATATTATCCACAAAATTTCTTTTAAAAAATAGATCATCAGTGGTTATGCCTCTTTACCTCTGAATTAAGTCTTGTTAATGATTATAATTCTAAAAAAATATGTATATGTATATGTATATATACGTTACATTTATAATTATTAGGGCCTGGAATTGTATGCATTTGCATATTTTTATATATTTAACTAAAAAGTAGCTAGGTAAGATAGAAATTTAAATGTTATCTAATGTGTTGGTATGCAAATTTAAATTTAGGATATTTTTGCATATTTTAGCATTTTTCTGAAATATAATGCATATATAGAAAAAAATATTACTTCCTAATAATATTATAATAATATATACTAATAATATTAATAATATTAATATTATTATTTATTACTTAGCACATGTCCATCGTAAATTCCGTAAATAGTGCAGTTATATAATTTGATTTTTTGTGTTATAATAAGATAAGATAAAGTTTGCTAAAAGTACCAATACGAAAGTAACTCTCCAGTTAGCTTTAAACATATTATAAAAATCCGCTTAATTTGTTTAAATTGATTTTCGTTTGTGACTTTTTTGTTTAGATGAATGAGTGTTCAAAATACAATTTAATTTCAGTACAACATACAGTTCCATAGAGTTGAATAAAATATATAAAATACAATTGATATATTTTAAAATATATTTTTTGTTGAATATTAATTATTTAATGAATTGTATACATTTTAAAATTAAATACATTTAATAAATAATAAACATGCATTTTTGTTTGCATATTTTTGCATATTTTGAGTGCCTACTTGAATGATAACCATCGCATAAATGGCATACATATTTCGTACGTTTTTTAGTGCATATAATTCCGGGCCTTAATAATTATATATGATTTTCAATTTTTTTTATCTTCAATTTAATATTGAAATATTGAATTTACATTTCAACAAATTATAGATCTAATAGTCATTACTACTTAAGCTTAATTAACTATTAAGAGCATGCTATAAAAAAAAAAAAAAACCATCACATTACCTACCAAATATTATCCAATATTAAAATATTTCAAGTAACTTTTTACTGCATGATAATTTTTTTAACTAATTATTTTAAATTTTTATGATTTCTAATATGTATTTGCGTTTAAGAAAAAATTAACTTAGACATTTTAATATTCCAAAATTACATAGATAATTTTGTTAATAATAATGTATTAATATCTATAATATCAGTAGTTATATTTAACATTACGCCACTGTTATAAGACAATAATGTAGCAATTACATTATTATTTATCATTTCCTATTAATTAAAATATTATAATTTCAATTTGAGAATAATAGCTTGAGTATTATGGGTAGTTATTATTAAGTATTTTAATTTTTTTAATTTAATATACATTATGATATACATATACTTAATACTTAAAATTTAAATGTATACTATTGTCTATTAATATTACAATTTATATTTTAAATTATTCTATGACCCATATCACTAATACAACTTATTATTTTTAAATTACATTTTTTTCACTTATACAGGGTGGAGCACTGAAACGGCCGATTTTCAAAGATAAATTTTCTCAGTAGTTATTAAAATAAAAATTCTCTCTAAATATTATTAGTTGTAAGACATCATGCCATTTAGTAAACATGGAACAGTGGAGTGATAAACAACGTGCTTACGCAATAAAATCATTATGTTTGAGTCTGAATGTAGGTACTGTCTATATTATGTTTTATTTTTATGTTGTATTAATTCATTTTTTTGTCATTTATGTTATCATTTTCGTGCGATGCGTAGCGGTGCGTTGCGTATCCGAAGCCCTCGTCGGCGACGGCGATAAGCCTCCGTGTGCGACCGGTCGGTTACGCAATCGCGCTGTTATCATCGCATGAAAGTGTCGTTATTTCCACGTTTTCAAAGGTTTTCGGTTATGTTTTTGTAAAAGTAAAAGTCATGTTCTCAGTGCCACAAAGTTTCATAAGTTCTCGTGTTTTTTTGGTTTAGTGTGGTGGCACTGAGACATTTATCTTCATTTTGTGGTGTCCGGCGGCCCTAGCCTTCGTGGAAAATGTCGCCGGCACCGTCTCTCGCTCTGCTCGCGTCCGCCGTAGTGTTAATACCCGTTTGTCGTTTGTTCCTGTTTGCAGCCATTTTGTTATACCACGTTTTTGTCTTGTCAGTTGTGTTGTGAATCAGTCATTGGTAACTATCGCGCATAATATTTGCCCATCATTAATTTGTTTTGTCCCTCTAGGGTGTTCAATTTGTTACCATTGACTGCATTGTTTAGTGATTTAACGTGGTATATTGTGTTGTATGGTCCGGTTGCAGCAGAGTCGTGTGTTATTTGTTCGTCGTGGTGCAGTTAGCGATGTGTTGTAGTGTGCGGAATCACTTGTATTTTTTATTGTATTAATTTTATTATAAATTACGGATTCCGGCATTGCAGCACATCATAACTGCACGAGGTAGGTGGTGCACCACCGTTTTTTATATTATTTGAAGACCGACGGGTCTATCACATTGTATTTATTTATATATTTATTATTTATTATTAGTGTGCGCTGTGTGGGCCACACATTATTGATTTATTTATTTATTTATTATTATTTGTGTGCGCTGTGTGGGCCACACATTGTTAAATTATTATTTTATTGTGTAATTTATATTTTGGTTGTGCCGCTGTAGGGCCAACCTTGCATTTATTATTATTATTATTATTATATTATATTTTTATTATACAGTCCACTTATTATTACCACTCCTTGTATAATAATTAAGGCGAACAAGCCAGCCCTTTAAAATTGTTGGGCACTTGCCGCGCCTACACATTATACAAAAATAATGACAGTTACGTAGCTGCGCACCGTTCGTTTCGTCTTCATTTCAATCTTAAACACCATGATTCGGTACCATCGGTAAGGCTATTCAAATATGAATAACCAACTTTAAAGATACGAGTTTAGCATTAAAAAATAAGCTCGTAAAAAAAAAAGCATTCGTAAACATCACTGCTATTAGGAATGCTCTCATAAGAAGTCAAAAATGTTTTGCACAAAACATGTGTTTTTGTTAAATTTGTCCAGTAGAAGTCAACGTCGGATTTTACACAGCGACGTACTATTTTTCGTACAGGCTTATTTTTTAATGCTGAACCCGATTCTTTATAGTTGGTTACCCATATTTGAATAGCCTTGCCAATGGTACTAACATAGCGTTAAAGATTAAAATGGAGACGAACAAATGAACGCTATGCAGCTACGTAACTGTCATTATTTTTGTAAAACAATTTTATCGCATAAGCACTTAAGCATTTTGTTCAACATTTCACTGTTCCTTGTTTACTAAATGGCATGTTGTCTTGCAACTAATAATATTTAGAGAGAATTTTTACTTTAATTGCTACTGAGAAAATGTATCTTTGAATATCGGCCATTTCAGTGCCCCACTCTGTATAAATAGAATTTTTTTGTCAGTTCTTTTTTTTTTTGAGTTTTTAGGGCATTTTAACTTTTTTTTTTGTGTGGGGGGGGGGGAATTTTTGTGCCTTTCTTAGGTCATCAATATCTTAACTTGAATATTTGAAGAATGTTTTTATATCTATATACGAGTATTTGACATATTATTGATATAACTATTTGATTTTTTTTTTTTTAGATAAATCATGACAATTATGAAAATAATTATGGTAAAACAATAAAAAAGAATTCTACAACAGCCAATTCCACTATCATTTCCAAGTCAAATAAGTACATCAATAATTATTCTTCTATTTCCAGAAAAATATTGGCTACAGAAAAAAGCAATTGTACCATAGTTTCTCAAAATAAATCAACAAAAAAAAGAAATGAAGATTTTATTTTAAAGACACAAATAAAAACAAATATTTTTGAAACTAGCAATCAAAAAAACAGCAATATAAAACGTAACACATCTGATATTAATTGCATTGATAACAGCTGCAATATAGCTAATACAACAGATACTGATGCCTCTATTAATAATAATAATAATAATAGCAAACAATTTTGTGTTGATAAAATTCAATATATTAATACCATTGGGGATTACAATGATGTTTCTAATAATGGTGATGGCAAAAATGTGTATGGTGATCACTGGGATAAAGATGCAAATATCTTTACAGATTATTATTCAAAAAAATTAGAAAAAATATTTAAAAAAAATATATTCTAAGATAGGAAAAGAGGTAATATATCTATATAGATACTAGTTGTATTACATTTTTTAAATTGTGATAAAAACGATTTTATTAATATCAGGTTTAAATAGCATTTCTTACTATATTAATTATATGTATTTTTTAGTTTTTCATTAGATTAGTAGAAAAGAAATTTATTTTTCCATCATCTTATTTAAATGAAAAATCATCATATACTATCAATTTATTTAAAAACCGTGCACTTCAATATAAAAGAGATTTGGACAGTTTATTTATGATTATGGACCAAATTAAGTCTATTATGGACCAAATTAAGTCTATGCTAAATTGTAAACAATTCCATGTGAAAGGTGTTGGTGTTCAAGTCGATATTAAAGATGAAATGGTAAAATTTTATTGTAAATATTCCAAATTATTTCAAATATTTTATAAAATATATTTATATAGGTTTTCAAAAAAATTTTATTAGTAAATTACTTTTAATTGACAATTTAGTTTTAAATTTATTTATATTTATTTGTGGTTTATTTTTAATATTTAACTTGATTAAAATATTTTAAAATAAAAATTTAAACCATGGTATAGAAGTACAATTATCATGACATTGTGTAAAAAATTATATTAAGAATATAAATTAATTAATCCATATTGTATGTTACTTGTTGACATAGCCCCTTGTGAATAAAAGTTTATCTGTTGATGTCCAAAACATTCAAGTAATTAAAAATGAAGGGAATTCAAACAGTCAAAAAACTTTATATTCTATACATTATCCAATGTTATATCAAGATTTAATTCGTTACAATTCAAATAAGGTATATATAATTTTTTTCATTACTTATTTTCTTACTCGTGACGGGCTAATAAATTTAATGGTTTTGTTCTATTTACTTATTCTATTAAATAAAATTTAGTTTTTTTTTTTTTTTTTTGTTGTTCAAATTAAAAAATATATTTTTCGCTTTTTTCAGAATCAGTACATTTAATTTGAATATTAGTATTGTTTTTTTTTTTTGTTTTTATTAAAAAAAAACCTAATTAAAGTAAATTAATTTTTTTTGAGTTTTAATGTGATACATTGCACTATAAGTTATTCAAATTATTTTTATGAATATAAAAAAAAAAAATGTAATTTAACCGTGTACCTAATAACTTTTTAACTTTTTTTTTATGTTAATATTATATAGGTTCTTGGGCCTTTCTTAGAGAATTTAACTGAAGTTGAAAAATATAAATATCCACCACCATTAAAAATAACAGTACATTTATCATGTGAAACTAAACTTCCAAGTAAGAGTTGATTATTTTTATGAGATTTTTCTGATAAATTAATTAATATTATTTAATAAACTAATTAGAACAACTAAAAGCAATTTTGAAATGGGATTTTAAAAATGATGTTCGTGATAGTCAGATTAATATCATCAGTTATGAAGTTATAGCTATAGCGGTTTATAATAACAAAATTATAATGAATAATGGATGGGTAAAAATTATAAAAGTAAAGTCTCTCCCATTGCCTATGACTTGTACTTGTCAACTGGTAAGTTAATAATCTCATGACATAATATCATGAAATTGTTATTTTAATTATTCATAACCATGCATATATATCTAAATTAATATAATTATTTTTACAAAGAAGTTATTAAATACCATTTTCCTTGCCAAATATAAAGAAAAAATGAATTAAAAAAAATATTATATTTTTAGTTTCTGAATTAAATTAATACCGTTTGATTTTACTGTATTGTATTTTTTTTTTTTTTTTTTTTACACGTTCTAAACCAAAATGAATGTTTCTATCATTACAACAATAGAAGATTTCTAATTCTATAATTGATACCTAGGGTAGGTAATTTTACAAATTTCCCAACGATTTCCTTAATAATTGCGAAAATATTATGAAATACATGGATTATCTGTTTTCGAATCGCATTTTTGTTCATATTATAACTTAAAAAATAAATTACTAGGGACTTAATATTGTTAATGAATACTTATCTTACTAACTTATACTTAACTTATTCTTTATAGGCGGGAAAATGTTAAAAAAAAATGTTTTTTTAGTTATTTATAGATTTTTGAAAATCTCATGTTTTCATAGCTTTTTTTTATAAAATATTCATACAATTATGTTGATTTTATATTAAGTATTGAAATGTATTTCTAAGTTATAAATAAGTATACAGCTAATCTATACTTTAAATATATCTTACTTGTAGTAAAAAAAAAAAAAAAAAAAAAAAAATATGCGTTCGAATATATTCAAATGATTGATTTTGATTTTAACAAAACAAGAATCACAAATTTTGTTGTTATTTTATAAATATAAAATCACTATTAAGTCATATTGACTCAAACCGTTTATTGAGGTCATATTTATAATAGTCTTACATTTGTATTTTAAAATAATTTCATAATTTTCGAAATCAGAAATATTTTCTAAACATCCAATTTAATTAAATTGGTTATAGTTTAATAAAAATCCTGGACATTTTAATGTCATTAAATTATCAATCTAGATCTTTTTTATTTTTTGAAAAAGTTTGACATATCTAAAATTAAGAAATTTGACTCTACAACAATATTATTCATCCATCTTTGTATCACGTCTGACTAGCTTTAGTCTGATATAAGTGCCTAATCAATTAATACACGAGTATAAGTATGATTTCGTAGAACAGTCATATTATTTCACATCGCTTAAGGTCAAGTTCAAAATATTAAATGTATTATTAATAATTATAAAATATATTTTATCAATGTATATTTTTTTATTTTTAGGTCACGGTTAATGGTGCAATTTATTATTTTGCAATTAGAGCTATAGGTATGGATGGAAAATGTGGACCATTTAGTATATCTTTGCCTTTAGAGATTAGATATTGACATGCAATTTACAACTGCGCAACAGTTTAAACGCAATCAAACTGATCAGTTGCATGTGAGCTGACCGTTATTTAACGCTGCAGAAGTCACTAATGCGATTACACTGTTGTGAAACTGAAAATTGTCCGTCAACGAATATAATGAAAGCTTAATTTGATTTGGAGCCACGCAACATTCATTACCAAAACAGCTGTCGTCGACCGTACCTTCGTTTAATCTTTCGCTTACTTCTGTAAGCCACTTTCTAGTGGCTGTGGTTAGGACACATACATATAATATATAGACCGGCGAACCGGTCTATTTTATCCTTGCAATGATATCGATAAGATTGTATCTCCCGGTAGTATATTGATATTCACGCATCGTGTGTGCTTATCACGCGTCCTTTTCCAACCCTTTATCTTTGACACGTGCAAAATGAAATGTTATATGGGTCGTCACTTCGTGATTTTTATCTTTCGTTATCACGCCAAACGTTTTTTTGATATTCATTTTATGTGTATAATTTTTTCTTTATATATATATATATATTGTTTTGATGTTGAATTTAAAGTATGTAAATATCATATGATTTTATGTTTTTTCTGTAAAATATAAATATGTCTGTACAAGTATAATATAACTAATTAAATTGAAAAATTTGTGTGATATTATTTTATTATAAAATAAATACCTGAAAATGTTTCTGGGTACAATAAATAAATTTATTAAAAAAAGTTGTGTGATATATTAAACGTTGTTGCAGCATAATGAATGTTGAGTAAAATTAAAATTAGTGTTATTATGATTCTCTGTATACAATTGGTTTCAATTACCACAATTATCGCAACGATCGAGAAAATGACGATAGTAGCCCAAGATTGACAGCCAATCAACCGGCTGGCTGTTGGCGAGGGTCCCATAATTATTCGACAATTATTTGTATTTCCATTAATGTGTACTAAGAAAAATTGAAAATGGTCTTAATGTACCACCTTGTTCACTTATAATTCATTGTACGATTGTTAACACAACATCTAGAGCAGCGTTTCCTGATTTATGGACTGCAAAATATTTTTGATGGATTATTGTTTCGTAAACTAATGACAAGAAAAATAGTTTGGTCATCAAAATACAATTCAGTTTATCAGAATTAAATTTAACAGTATTATGTTAAAGTATATAGTACAATTCTAAATAATTAAACTATATATATATATATATATATATATATATATATACTTTGATTGTTTATTTTATTATTTATAAATGTTCGTTACTCAATATAAAGAACATTTATTATGCAAGAATATACAGTACTTTTTCCAATATTATATATTTAATTTTATGATTTAAAGTCCAGTTCCGTTTAGTCGTCTTGCATTGGAACAGGTTAGTAAGAATTAAATGAAAATGCGTAAAATAGTAAGTGTTATCTAAATGAATAATTATTAATCCACTTTTTTAGAAATGCTTTATCAATGTAGTACCTCTATCTGCACTATAATTTGTTCGTTTTACATCGGAAATAAATTGATTCAAACATTATTTGCTTCATCACACTCGGGCAGTCTGCTGAAGAAGGCTATTTATCTACACGTCTCGATGCACCAGTGAGAAAACATTCTCTAAAGCATATTGTATGAAACAACGATGGGTCAAAATAAATTAATTTTCGTGTTGGAAAAGTATATGCGTAATCACATCTTTATGGTACTTAAATACCATGTAAATGACTGATTTTTTTGTGATTATTGTGAAATCTGGGGTAATGTAATTTGGAGATTTAGTTAAGATTTTGGACTTCAAGATCTTTTTGAAAATTGTTATTAGTTATGTGCCAGCGAGCAGAGAAAACTAGGAGAAGGAATATAGACTGAAATGCTTGGATTGTTCGGGTGTTAGGTTTAGCGGCAACCCATAATTTAACGCCGTAGACCCATAGTGGCCTGAGTGAGGACTTGTAAATTAGTAATTTGGTATAAATATTCGTTTTAGATTTCAGTAGGGGTCTAAGGAGATGAAGACAGCTATTAAGGGCTTTTTGTTTAGCTTTTAAGTGAATATTCCCGGTTAGTTTATTATCGAGAAAGAGAACAAGGTATTAATTTCTATATAGATGGGAATTGGAATGTTGGTCATTGTAACTAGGGAGAACGTTCCTTTTTTTGGGGAAAATAATATGAAAGAGGAATTGAATTCGTTAATTTAAATTTTCCATCTTATTGTCCAAAGGTCAATTATGTTGTGGTGTCTTTGTAACATACTAGAATCTAGAATTGGGTTTTTATTGGAAGTCATAATTGTCGTGTCATACGCGTAGGAAGTTTTAAGCTTAAAAATATAATAATAACGCAAATATCTAATTTAATGTTTATGCCAACTTATTTGCAGCTGTTATTGTTTACCTCAAATAGTTGTTT